CAACTTGTTCTACATTAAATTTATTCTTTTAAAAGAATATTAGTAAAAACCTTTTAAAAAAATTATTGAACTTTCAAAATCACTTATAATTGTATTAATTCTTATGCAAATGTGTGTAAATTATTACAAAATTAAAAAATTATCCATTAAAAATTATTAGTCTTTGTGTTTAATGTCATGACTTCTTGATCAACTAAGTAAAACCAAGATCTGTACTAAGATAGATCTACTAAGAGTCTATAATTTTCTATATGTTAAAAAAGAGATAAATGGAAAACTATATTTTGTATTAGATATGGCAATTTTGAAAACAACTAGATCATATTCTAGGATTTAATAAATAATGTGTCTTATGAATATCTAAATAATTTTATTGTATAATTTTTTAAATAACATTCTAGTCTATTTTTAAAATATAAAAATAAAAGTAATATGTTTGCATTATGTTACAGAAACTTAAAAATAAAGGATTATATACCAAAAAATATGTTATATTAAACAATCTAAGTAGAATTTTTGGAATATATTATTTGAAATGAAAATTTGCAAATAGATTTGAAAAAGATATAGACTATTATGAATTAAAAAAATTCTAAAAATTATATGTTATGTCTAATTTTTTTAGAATTTATAAATTATTATTAAATATTCATATCTTCATATAAGCTTATTTATCATATTATTTAAAGTTTTCAAAATTATTTATTTATAGAAAAAAATACATCAAATTTTACATTAGATACAATTCTATTACAAATACATGCAAATAATAGATTGTATCATGTTGCTATTTTTAAAAAAAATCTCACCAATGTAAATTAGTTATAAAATCTATAACAAAGAATTTCTTACTATTGTAGATTCATTCTTAGAATAAAATCACATATAAAATACTTCTTATTTCATCACAATATTTATCAATCATAAGAATCTCAAATTCTTCATGTTAGTATGTATCTAAAATTGTTGTCAAGCTTGTTAGAGCATGCTTGGTGATAAATTTTATTTAATATTACATATCATTTCCAAAAAACAAGACTTGTCAAATGCCTTGTCTAGAAATTATTATCTTACACTAAAAAAATTAAATTTAGGATATAATCAATAAAAAACTATGCTTTTGAAATTAAAGCAATTATAATTGTGAGCCATTAAGTCAAAATTCGATTTTTCACTACTTTTTTGTGATAAAGTATATTCAAATATGTTGATAAATCCTCTTATTTTTCATGTTTAAAATAACCTTGATGATAAATTTGATAAATTTGAGTTAAAAAAAATCTTTTTCATTAAAAAAGGTATTTATGTATTTCTAAAGATTAAGTATAATTAAATGCATTATAAGCACGACATGTCTTTTTAGTAGAATTTCGCTTTGGATATAATAAAAAAAATAACACTTATTTCAAGAAATTTTTGATGGCTTCAAATTCAAAAAGAAGTCAAAGTATTTGTTCAATCATACAACTCATATTTTAAAGAAAAGACTTAATATTATTAATCTTATAGAATTTTCAATCTCTACTTATTATAAAGCAAACTTGCTCATCTATTGCAATGGGCTTTATCACAAATCTTTTAATTTTAAAATCTTATGATATTATTTTTGTAAGGATAGATTAATTTACTAAAATGGCATATTTATTGAGCTATTACAAGATATTATTTAACATACAAAAATAAAAATATAATTAAAAAAATCTTAAGAATAATAAAAAAATTTAATCTAGATTTTTTCTTAGAAGAAATATTTTTATTCAAATTTGATGATAGTAAATGATTACTTTGTTAATCAAATGATATGTCATTAGATTAAGTTATTTTTGGATGACATATCATTTTTAATTACTACTATCAATAAAGATTAATTTTATATTCTTTAGGTTTTTTTATTAAGCCTTATATGCCAATTACTATATCAAAAAGAAAGTAATCACTACTATCTTTTGTTGAAATAAATAATAATAAAAAGTTTAAAATGGATCAATAAATTCATCTCAAGAGATGTCATTCATAGGATTTCTATATAAAGCTTTTAGATTATCTCTACTTAGATAAAATATAATTATAATGAAGATCTTCTAAAAAAATATGTTTTATTTTAAATAAATAGCAAGCTATAAAGTGTTTGATACTACAATCTTATAAGAAGCTCTTGATGCTTAGTGATGTTCTTAGAAGCAGATATTATATCTAATAGAATATAAAATATAATATTTAATAGTAGTTATAAAGGCTTTAATAATGTTCAAATAACCAAGTAGTCTTCTTGCCCTTATATATGATATTATCAATGGTTAAAAAAACTTATCAACTATCTTTATTAGGAACAAAGATTTAAGTTTGTTACTAATATTATTTGATGGATTTTGATTAAAGATAAGAATTTACTAAATGTACATAAATAAGTGAGAATTTTTTCAAAAAAAATAAAAAAAAGTAATAGGTAAATGTATGTATTCAAAAAGAAATTAAAATGGCTATTGCCAAAGACAAAGAAATTAGAAATTCTTAAAACTAAATTAGAAGTAAAAAAAGAATTGACAAAAGTGAAAAAATCCTTATTTTTTCTTCTATATATACTATCTAATTAAGAACTATGTGGCAATGTTTTACAAACACTCCAACATGTGTCTAACTAGCAAGACACATGTTTAACTTTTAAGACAAGCTTTTCATTTGTGTGCCATATATCCAACTTATTGGCCAAATTTTCAACCTATCAATCACTTATAAATACATATAAAGCCAAAATCATGTCTATAAAGCTTCTAAGAAGCTTTTCTATAATATATTATCAAATTTATCTATTTTTATCTACTTCTACCTATTGATATTATTTAGATAATTATTAGAGTAAATATGGATGTCCATAACCTTATTCTCATGTTCTAAAAATAAGTTCCAAAACAAGTGGTGAACACATGTTTAAAAAGTCCAAGATATAATAAATTGTATTTTTCACATATTTTAATCTTTGTTATCTTCAAAGATAGTTGATAGGTGTCCTTACCCATTATTAATATTCCAAACTACGGTGGAAAGACGATTCTATTATTTAATCATTGCTAAGGCTTTCATAACTTCTTTCAAACAAAATACTTAAAACATCAGTAAGAATACTTTCTACTTCTAATAATATCACTAAACATCAAGAGTCTCTTCTAAGGTTGTAATATCAAACATGTTATATCTTACTATTTATTTGATTTTTATTTGATTTTTATGGTTTTCATCTCTATTATATCATCTTAAAGACTATTACAATTATAATGTCTTATTGAGTAACTCAACAAATAATAGCTCTTGAGTTGAATCTGCTAGTTGTTAATTTTCTATCTTTTTAATACCTTAAATATATAAAAACTACAAACAAAGATACTTAGAATAAAAGCTTAACTAAATCTCATTTCTTTTTTTACCAAAAAAATGATTGATTTTTTATCTTGGTTTTAATGAATGTCATTAATAAAAAGTATCAACTTTTTTTTTTGAGCATTTCAAAGATTCTTAGATGGCTTCTATGTGCATTCACTAATATCATATCTATGCCAATGTACAAGATATTTCAACTTATTTGGTGTTACTTTGACTTTGAAATTTCTTCAACTTCAAACTCTTGATTATTATCTACTTCTATAGGAAGAACTGGCATTTCACTTCTTTCTAGTATATCTATTGTCTTATATGGTTAAAAAAGAGACATGTAGAATACAAGATGAATCTTCATAGATTTTAATAGGCATAATTGATAAGCAATTAAATTGATTTGTTTATAAATAGGAAATAGTTAAAGTTTATAATAGTATAACTTTTCATAAAAAAAATTAGTCTTGAGATTACTATAGAATAACCATATCTTATTGCTTATGTGAAATTGAAATTGTTCTACACAACAGACATTTGTATTGATCTTTTGTTATTCTTGAGCTTTTAATTGTGCATTTATTATTGTATTTAGTTTTGATAAACAATTTGCAAAATCTTCTCTTATAGAATTATCAACTTTTGAGAAGTCAAAAGTATAAAATTGTAGATGATAACCATAATCCACATTGAAAGGTGTTTGTTGAGTTGAAAAATGTACCATATTATTACTAAAAAATTCTACCAATAGCGAAAAATTGTCAAATCATGTAGATGGTGTATTACAAATACTACTCTAAAACTTGATTCACTTATTTTGTTTGGTTATCAAATATATATGAAAGAAATAATAGTAAAAAGCACTTGGTTACAAGAATCAAAGCACTCAAGATGTTTTGGCTCTACGAAGAAGATGGTTTTCAATAATTCATCACAACTATTAAAAAGACAAAAGAAAGTAAATATGGCCAAGACCAATGGAATAGATTCAAAAAGACACTTAGTTTTTTCTACTAAGTAACTCTCATAGGTTTTTGTATTGATTTTATAAATAAAATGCATTGTTTACAAGTTTAGAAAATTTATTAGATCCAATAATCATATTGAGATGTTTTAATGGAGGTTATGATTTCAACTATGGATCCACCATCAAGACAAATAAATAATTGATTATAAAGAGAATGTAATTTCTGAATATATCATAATAAAGAAGACATATTTCTGAATCAAGAATCAAAAACTATGTTACATTTCAAATTCAGAATCTTTGCCTTAATATCAGGCACAACAAAGACCAGATCGAGCGGTTATTAAAATAGTTGGCATTCCACAAAAAAAAACAAAAAAAATATATATATATATATATATATATATATCTGCACGGCTGTCACCAAAAAAGAACACGATCCACCCAACAAGCATTGTACAACAGAAAAACTCTGCATATCAAACCCAAATCATATTAGGAGGTAAGAGGAACAAATCAAGGTATGCCGCACAACACAGATAAATAAGATAAACAACAAATCAAAATACGAAAAGAAACACCAGATCAATGTACAAACTCAATCTGTATCAGCAAAGACACACCACCCTGACCCAATACAATCAGCATCCGACAACAACGATCCCAATGAAACACATTCGCTAAAGCCGTCACAACAAGGCTCGCATTTCAATATTTTTTGTTTTTCATCTTTCTTTTCTGTAGCTGCGATTCCTGATGCCTTCGTTGATACATAATACTGAATCAAACCGACTCCCTCTCAGGGGCGATCAAATTTTTGTATGCGGCACGCTCGACTATTCAGTTCGAATACAACTGCCCCACATCTCCCAGCTCTTGACTCAAATAACATCCATTTCACTCCAGCCAAACTTACTTTCAGTCTCCTAACCCGCCCCCCTTTTCCTCTCCCGCCAGTTCTCCCCCCACACCCGTGCCTCCGCCACCGCTCGCTCGCGTTCCCGAGTCGGAGCCTGCGACTTCAGCCCGTCTCTACTCGCCCTCCCCGCGTATCCGGGGCTGTCCCGCCCTCCCCCCTCGTGCCTCTCCCACTCCTCCGAGTCCCTCTTCCTCCCTGATCCAGATTCTGACCCCCGCGACTCCTCCAGCACTCCGTTCGTCACCCGCGCTCGGCCCCCTCCCTCCTTCACCCACAGGTCCGGAGACGCTGCCTGCGACCGCACCGATGGCGACCGGGGTCCTCCTTTCCCGGCTCTCTGCTCCTTCACCATCCGCTCCTCGATAGTGTTCGGACCCGGCGGCATCTTCTTCTCCTTCTCCCGCTTCTCTCGGGACGGCGTCGCCGGTGCGAACCGGCTCGACCCCAGCGGATGCATCCCGGGGTCATAGATCTGCGACGCCAGATAGCTTAGTGCTGTCACAACGTCCCCGATCAGAGGCCGCGTTGCAGCCTGCTCCTGCAAGCACATCGCCGCTACTGCCAGGGCTTGGTACAGCCCGCGCATTGGATACCGCCCCTGCAGCATCGGATCCGCCATCGACGGAAACTTCCTTCGGTCCTTGAACAGCGGCCGGGCCTGCACCACCAAGCCCCCAATCCACCGGCCTGTCACGTACTCCACTCCATCACACGGTATTCACACACTGCATATCATTCCTGAATAACCCCACTCCTCTATCCCCCTGCAAACTATCACAACTCACAACTACAACATGACCCCAAATGATGTTTTCCTCCAAAAGCAGCAACTCTCATCCAAAGATAAATGAAGTCCAAATACCCGCTCTTCTATACCTCACAAAAACCACTCGACCCGCCCACCACCATACACGCAAACCCCGCTACCCAGACATACCAACACTGCATTCATACTCCACTAATGCCCGCTTACCCACGCCACCAGGTTGTGCTCCCCGGCCGACCGAGAATTGTCGATCGCCTTCCGCCCCGTTATCAGCTCCAGCAACACCACGCCGAAGCTGTACACGTCCGACTTCAGCGTCAGCTGCCCCGTCATTGCGTACTCCGGGGCGCAGTACCCGTAAGTCCCCATCACCCGCGTCGATACGTGCGTCTTGTCCCCCACCGGACCCAGCTTCGCCAGACCGAAATCCGACAGCTTCGGATGGAACCCCTCGTCCAGCAATATGTTCGAACTCTTGAAGTCCCGATAAATTACAGGTGGTTTTGCTGTGTCGTGCAGGTACTCCAGACCCCGAGCTGCTCCCGCCGCGATCTTCATCCGAGTGTTCCAGTCCAGGCACTCTTTGTCCTGCGGCAGATCTGCGACACCCACACAGCTACGTCAACCGTAACTTCACCACTCTCCTCACTCCTCCACCCTACTAACCCCCCTTTCCCACTCCACTCATCTCGACCCTCCGCATCACCAACAGTCCTCCCCACACGCCCCACTCACAAGCCCTCTCCTTGTCGCGCACATCAACCACCCACACTGCACATGCCCCTTACCATGAAGATGATCTTCCAAGCACCCCAACGGCATGAACTCGTACACCAGCAGCCGCTGATCACCGTCGGCGCAGTATCCGATCAGGCTTACGAGATTCGGATGATGCAACAGACTCAGCATCAACACTTCTACCAGAAACTCTCGGTTCCCTTGCAGCCCGTTCCGATCCAGTTGCTTCACTGCCACCACCTGCAACCACCCACTCAACACCCCTCAGCCTCGTCCTCCGCCACATTCACCTGCTCGCCCTCTAATATCCTCACCCATTCCATACGGTGTAAAAATTCCACCCATGCCCGACATACGGAATTTTTACACCGAAAACCCTCACGCCACTCCCTTCGCCCACCATGCTCTTCTCCCCGCTGCATCCCTCTCTCCTATACTGCACATTCCTTCACTTGCCTGCCCGGTGTTCTCCAGACGACCTTTGTACACGCGGCCGAAGCCGCCCTCGCCCAACAAACACTCCGGTCTGAAATTCTTCGTCGCCGCAGCTAGCTCGCGGAACGTGAAAGTCTGAGCGGCGATGTGCGTGCTCCCTTCGCGCTGCGGCTCATTCTTGTCAAATGAGCCTTTCGCGTCGTATTTCTTCGAGTTACCTGCCAGCCCTCAACAACCACATCGACACCAACCACATTGCCTGCGTCAGTTTCGCATCCAGCACTATGTCAATTGCAAAGTTCAACCCATGAGCGGAACCGGAATTAGGTCATAATCTCTTTCCTCACCCGCTCATCCCTAATACTCACACCTTCTCAAAGATAGGCCAACACATTACGTTACCACTTCGCCCACTCCTACCTCGCAAGTCGCATGCTAGCTACACCAACAAGATTCTGTCCATCCTACCCGACCCCTTACTTTCCCCTCTCTCTCTCTCTCTCTCTCTCTCTCGCTCTCTTTATACACACTCCGTGACCCCAATCATTGGCACACATCCCTTTCATCCTTAGTACCCACCTCAAAAACCTAAACTCTCACTCCCCTAATCCCCACATTCAATCGCTTTCGCTCTCAAGCCCATGCCCGACATCTACCTCCGTCATACCAAGCCCTGGGCGAGTTCCCCCGTAAGACTACCACCATCACCTCACTAGAGTGCACCAAGATTTCACCGGCACGATACCAGTACGACCTCCCAATGTAGACGGCCACCACCCTACTGTTGTGCCAAACAAGATTCGCCCCTACCCTAAGCATTAACCACCAGGATCAGATTGCACAGAATCAACATGCGCGCGGCCGACTAATCTCCTATCGCACGCTTAGACTCGCATCCCAGGTACATCACGTACCTGAGGGAAGATTGGAGATTTGCGCGACAGGAGTAGTAGCAGCCGATTGCCCATCACGGCTGCTGTTGTTGTCATCATTCTTCTGCGGCTTCCTCTCCTTGGGTGCAGAGGTGAAGCATGAAAACCAGCCCATCTTTGAACACGTCCCTCGATTAAGATAATTGTATTACTGTTATGAGCCGGTTCTTGTTTCCCGCTTCCCGACTACCTGTCCGTACTCTACAACTCGTGCAACCTCCAGGGCCCCCACCGTGTCTGGGTGCCCACGCCACTTAGCCCACAGATTATGCCAAGCTTCGTCGTTGCATGTATAATCTGCATCCCCACTCACATGCCTTCTCCTCCACCTACACCACTTCGTCCGCCACCTGCACGCCTGCTTCGAGCTCACCTTCTCCCTTAACGATACTTGGTGTGACGTCGAAGCTGCTTGGGCCAGAGCAACTCTCGCCTGCTTCTGTTGTCATTGCCAAAATCCATCCTCAGATCCAGCTGCCTTCCGCCTCTTCCTCATTTACTCGCTCTCCCCAACTCAACCTAAATTACCCAGGGCCCTAAGACACACAAACATGAAAGGACAGACTCCCGCTACGGCTACCGCCAGTAGCAGAGCCACTTGTGGATGGTTCCGTCACCACTGCCACCTGCTTCTCCATCGATTTGGTCGCCTCTCCCGCTTCCATCGTTTTCACCAGCCTGCCCTGATCTCAATCACACCAAATCTTTCTCGTAGCTTTACATGCAAACACGACACGAAAATATTCGAAACTGCGGATGCTGCAAGCAAACCCACTAGAAGAACGATACTGCTACAGCACTAACAGGCCACTCGGATTTGAGGGTGTGCGGGGTGCAAGCATAATGTCTGTCTGCTTGCTATTCTAAAACTAAAACTGAAAGGGGTGGGCCGGGGCACTACAGAACGCGACTCCAATCTCTTCACCCCTCCCTCCCTTCGGCTCCCTGCCCTATCTCAGTTCTTCATGGGCCCCCTGGGGTGTGTGCGTCACTTACTTTCTCTGCACCTTCTTCTGCCTTGGTGGGCCGGGCCTGGGCCGGGCGGGGGTTTCGCCCCCAAATCCCCCCCCCCCCCCCCCCCCCCATTTGTCTCCCTTTCAGTATCGGATCACAACCACCTCCTCCTCCTCCACCTTTTCTGTGTATCTATAAGATTGTTTGCGTCACAGTTGCTTCTGTTGGGGCACTGGCGTCTATTATTGCTCCACAACGTTCTTTTGAAGTCCAATTCTAAGCGGGAAATGGCTTCATTATGGCAGGCAGTTTATTTCTTTTGCCCTAGGACGTCTGCAATCCAACAGTTTGGGGATGAGATTTCAATGGAAATGCTACAGTACATGAACGCAGACTGATTTCAAGACGAGTTTGATGAGCCTTTTCTCATCCGATTCAACTAGCATTCTGAGAAATTGTCTGATGTGCAGGTTGCAGATCTTTGTAAATTGGAGTTCTTCCTGTGATGCTGCCCTTAATGCCCTGACACAATTCCAAGGTTACCTTGCTAGCTTGCTTGAGAATGTTAAGGTGATTTCTATTACTTTATTCCCATTCATCTAAGCCGATTCCCATATTTAGAATCGTTTACTGTTACACGTTATAGCGTTAGCATAATCGAAAAATTCCGCTTGAATTAATATTGCAATTCGTCAAGATAGACCCCACTGACAGTCAGTTGCTTCAGTCCGCATCACGCTTTCCAAACAGGGCAAAACATAGTGTACGAACCAGCGTTCTCTGCCCACATGGGCTATTGCCAGGACAAGAACATTATGTCGTTGATTGCAACATAGCTGCTCTCCGGTGGCCTATAAATATCGGACTAGACCAGATCCATCACTTCTCCCTGCAAACCAAACTTTCAGAACATATATGAACCCTGTGTTAGAGATTAGGACCTCCCGGTTACTGTTCTCCCGGATCATTAGCGGATAAGCAAGGAGGACCGCTTAGTTTAGCTAGAAACAATATGTGCCCTATGCACTATGTGGGTGCCTACCCGTCTCTGGATGGCTGCTTATCCTGGGATCTCTCCCTCGGTCATGTCTAGGACTCCGTCGCTTGTTCTCCTACTCACGGCGCATGAGCTAATACAGTCTTACGATTTTTTGTGAAAAACCTCTTTATGGTATCAGAGCAGAAACGCTCCTGAAACTGAAATCTTAGCTTAGCAAGATTTGCCCACGATGTTGTCTGCTGATGCAACCAAAATCTCCTTTGCTGGCAGTGAGAAATTCGTTGGAGCATAGAATTATTCGTTATGGACATTCCACGTTGAACAAATCCTTCGCGAGAAGGATTTGAGGTATGTTTGTAACCTCACAGCAGCATCACCTTCATCACATGGAGGCAGCAGCGATTCATCAGGGACTGGGGGAGCTTCAGGCGAAACTGAAGGGACTGCAAGCAGCGGAATGATTTGGAAACGGAGACCAACTCAAGCTCTACCTTTGCTGGCGCAACGCCTTCGACCCCTACGCCCACTTTTGCCGCTGCTGTTGCAACGACGGTCGTGCCACCTACTCTCATCACATCGAAGATTCAAAAACACAAGGAAAGGGTAATTGTAATCATTACCAAAACTGTAACTGCTTCTATTTTCCCCGTAGTTAGCAGATTGCATAGCGATCCATTTATGCTTTGGGCAACATTGAAGAAGAAATATGAATCGTCTGCTCTGCAACGAAAGTTAGATCTCAAAACGGCTCTGGTAGAGCTTAGATTCACAGAAGGAGATTCAATGGAAGATTACCTTAAGAAGATTGAATATCATGTGATGGAGCTAGGTCTTATAGGCGAGGAGTTTCCAAAAAAGGAGCTCATCTAGATTGTTCTGAGAAATTCGCCAGAGAGCTAGTCGTTTTTTAAGTTAACATACGATGTGATGTATGCAAAAGACACCCAAGTCACATTCGCCGATTTGGAGGAATACCTGCAAGTAGAAGATTTTCGATGGAAGCCACGATTTGACGAAACGGAGCACTTTCTCATGGCAAACAATGAGTAACATGGCCCTGTGGTAGAGGCTTCTATTGACGAGATCCAAGGCGAGGCAATAATGAAGTCTACCGACGCGACCAATGTCTTTGTTGCAAGCAGCACAAAAACGCCTGTGACAAGTGTTACAAGTTTTGGATGTATTCCGATCTCTGGAAATAAATCTATATCCAACGTTTCCTATGTGCCGAGTATAACTAGAAACTTACTCTCTATGGTAAGTTGACTGATTAAGTGTACATAGTTTTCTTCAATACCAAAAGTTCTTATGTCATAAATAGCAAATCTCCATTTAAGGTTCATTTAAGAGGAACTAGTGATCTTGCAAATAAACTCTACAAAATAGAGTTTTCCTCTGTCTCCCCTTTACTATCTTTGTATATTTTTCGAAGCTCAATCATACTTCATCCTAAGGTCTCTACTCAATGTAATCTAATAGAACCCCCACTTTCCAAACAACAATTGTGGCATCATTGTTTAGGTCACTCTAGCCATGATAGAATTAGATACATGTCTACTAAGAAATTAGTAGATGGCATTCCTCTCATTCCATTTCTAAGAAAAATCTCTAAGACATGTATGAAAGAGAAGTAAACTAGACAATGAATACCTAATGTAATTGCATTTCAAACTACAAAGCCACTAGAGTTAGTAGGTTTTGATTTATGTGGTTCTTTGCTAATACTTTCACTTATAGATACTTGATATGTCATCACCTTCATTAATGACTTCTTAAGGTACATATGGATCTATTTTTTGAAATTTAAGAGCGAGACACTAAAAAAGTTTATGATATTCAAAACTCAAGGTGATACTATATTAAACTCTAAACTCAAATCTCTTTGAATTAACAAAGGTGGCAAATATCTATCTGAGTTATTCAATGAATCTTGTCAAAATTTTTGAATCACTTGACAATTGATAGTTGCTTGAACCCTACATCAAAATAATATTACATAGTAGATAAAACAAAACTCTTATTGAAATTATTTGTAGTCTATTTTTTGGATTTCAACTTCCAACCTATCTGGAAGAAAGCTCATTATGTCATAGATATATATTTATTGTAATTATTATTACCTGTATAACATAAATAGGTAGAAATAGATAAAAATAAACTAATTTCATAATAATTTCTAAAGAAGCTACTTAGTAGCTTTATAAATGCTCCTTTGACTTTACGTATGTTTGTAATTGATTAGTAGGTTAGAAACTTAATAAACAAATTAATCACATTGTTATATTATAGTTCTTTATAATATGTAAAAAATAACTAAAATATATAATATATTTATAAGTATTGATGTGCATTAGAGTGGTTATTAGGTTAATTTAAAGAGAATCAATGTAAGAAAATTTATTTTGAGATTTATCTATATTGATTATAATATTTAAATTATATAAAATTTAGATATTATGTATAAAATTTAAGGAAAAGATGAGGACTCAAAGATAAAGTTTCAAACCTCTAAGAAACTTATTTGGAAGAATAAAAGCAAGGTATGGATGGATGAAGGCAAAAAATAAAGATCTTCATCTCTATAAGTCAAAGGCCGTACTCAATAGGCATTCAACAAGCTTTCTGCAACCATAACAAGGATTTTGGCAACTTCAAAAAGAGCATTTGAAAATTTGAAGCAAGAATTGTAAGGTTTAAGATTTGAATTATAATTTTTGTGAAAATTTTAGAGGATTTTGAGTTAGGATGATAAAGTTATAGCCATTTGAAGTTAAGATTTCTTTTTAAGATATACTATTGCTTTTTTGAAGATACAAGGAGTTTTTTCATAAATTTTGGAAATTAAGAGGTTTGCTGCAAGAAAGATTTTAAAATCTATATCTTTTGTAAAATAATTTTTATATTTAAATTTTTTATAAAGAAGTTATAGAGCATTGAAGATAGCACATATAATTTGAAGGCAGTATGTGAGTCAATTTGTTGATAGTAATGGTTGGAGCCATATATTAAATTTTTGGATGAAATTTTAATTCAATTTTTTTTAAAATGTGTATTATTAGGTTAAAAAGCTATATATCAAATTTTTATGGTATTGAATATTTAATTTATAAGATATGAAGAAAATTGTACATGGATGCATATAAGCAAGGATTTGAAGCTAGTATTAGAATTTTGATGATATCTCAAAATCCATAAAGAAGTTAAAAATTAAATTTATTATAGTAGATGTTAAAAGTACATCAATAATTCATGTAAAATTTTGGTTTGTTTGGATGATCCAATCATAAGATATGAGCAATTGAAGTTTGGAAAAAATTCATCTTAAGAATATATAAGGTTTTATAATATTATTATTACATTTTTGGTAATCTTTAGTACTTAGGACTTATATATTGATATAATTTTCTCTATAGAGACAATTTTATATATGAAATGGGTATTATTTTTTAATCTTGAGGCTTGGTTGAACAATTAGAAATAGCCAAAAGCCGAATGCTTTCTTAAGAGGAATTCTTTCTACCTTGACATATTAATGCTTCTACTAAGAGCATTAAGATACTAAATTTTTCAACAAGTCAAGATAGAGAATCAAATTCTAAGGTTTGCATTATTAAATAGAATTGATGCCTATGATTTATCTATGATATTTTCTTAATTTATGGAAGAAAGTTAAAAGATGCTTAGGGAAGATAGGAACACCACTAAAGCTGTAGAAGTAGTTTATTCTAGGCTGACCAAGTATTATTAGATATTTAAGAAAGTTTTGCATGAAGAAATTTTGCTCCACTTCTACATCTCCAATTCTTATCTTTACAGCTGGATAAGCTCCATATAAATCACTTTATTGGTTGTTTGTACCTCTAATTATCCAACCATAGTTGATATCAATTGGTTATTTATTCTTTTCATACATCCACCTTGTCATGATGTCGATTTTAGATCCATGATCAAATAAGGCCAAAATTATATCTTTAGAATCTCCCAACCTTACATATGTCTCTATAGTAGCTCTTATCCAATAAAAAATTGAATAGCTATTACTTTCTATTCTATCATTATCACATTTAGAACAAGTATGTATACATGTTTTTTATGTAATCTTCTTTATCTTTATAGATTTCAAAGATGTATATTCTATTTAATATTTTTTATAATCTCAACATCTTTAAATGAAGTCTTGTCCTCCATATCAACTTTATTTTTAATTTTTGGTATTTCAAATTATGCAAATATCTGCTTTATTTTTTCTTTGTCATCCATAGTTACTTGTATATTTAGTTCTTCTATTATAATAGCTTCAGCTATTATCTGTTTCTTTTTCTTTATTACATTGATAATCAATTCATAGAAATCTTTTTTGACTATACTAAGAGCAGTTCCTGGAGTAAATTCAATTTTGACATCCAAAATCTTCTCTTCTAAAATAATTTTCATATCTATAGATGTCTTAATATCATATTGAAGCTTGTAAGCAGGATTTTTACCTTTAGATTTTCTTATGTCATCTTTTTCTTTCTCTTTGTTCTTCTCCCACCACTCTTTTGGTAATGATGCACCACTACAATGAATAGAAGAAGGCATCTTCTCTAATTTTTACACTTTAGAAGCTTCTTTATTCTTTGGACACCTCCTCTTGCTTTCAAGTTTAACATCTTCTTCATGAATAGCTCTATCTCTTTTTTTCTCAACTATAATATCATGCAAATCATCATCATGTTTTTTCCAACATAAAAATACTTTGATACTAATAGCATCAATTAAATCATTCTATCCACTTATTTTCTTGATAGCTTCAACTTCTTTGATCATAGCTTTTGTTATTGGAAAAGAATTAGCCTTAATTACTTTTTTCTCAACTATAATAGAATAAGACTTAGGTTTTTTTTTTTTTTTTTTTTTTTTTTTTTTGTATGATATTATTTATTTGTCTTTGCTCATCTATCAATTTTTTCATGGAGCTTTTTTTAAAATTATTCTTCAAACGCTTATTTGATCTTGTAAGTCTTATCCTATATACTTTAAAATATATAATATCATCCTTGATTGCAATCTTATAACTATCACACTGACCATGTATGTGGTTTGAATTGTCATACTACATACATCTTTCTACAAATTCCTTTGAATCTTCAATTATCTTTCATAAGCTTACGATCTAAAGATAATTTTATATATACATTAGTCCTAAGTTCCAAAGATTATCCAAAATGTGATAAAAATATTATAAAACCTTGTATATCTTTAAAATAAAATCTTTTCAAACTTCAATAGTTCATATTTCATGATTGGATTGTCCAAAAAAACAAAAAAATTACTTAAAATATTGATGTACTTTCAAAAACTTCTATAAAACTTTTCAACTACAAATTTATTATAGATCTTGAGATATTGCCAAAATCCTAATAGTAGCTTCAAACCCTTGCTTACATACACCTATATGTAATTTTCTTCATATCTCATGAACTAAGTATTCAAATACCATGAAATTTTGATACATAGCTTCTTCACCTAATAATACATATCTTTAGAAAATTTTCCTCAAAATTTCATCCAAAAATCAAGATATTGCTCTAACCATTACTATCAATAAAATGACTCATATACTATCTTTGAATTACATGTACTGTCTTCAATGCTCTACAACTCCTTAATACAAATTCTAAATGCAAAAAAAATTACAAAAGCTATAGGTCTTAAAATCACTCTTAAGGTTGGACCTCTTGATCTCCAAAAGCTATTGTAAAATTCCTTATATTTTCAAAAGAACAATAATTTTTCTTAAAAAGACATCCAAACTTCAAACTATTATAACTTCATTACACTAAATCCAAATCCTCTAAAATTTAAAAAAAAATTATAGCTCAAATCTTGAACCTTATAACTCTTACTTTTTATTTTTAAGATATTCCATTTGAAGTGACCAAAATCCTTGTTATGATTGAAAATAGCCTCTTGAGAGCCTATTGGACATAGCTTTTGATCAATAGGGATAAAGACCTTCACTTTTTACCTTCATCTATCCATACTTTACTTTCATTCTATCAAATAAGTTTCTTAGAGATTTAGATCTTCATCTTTGAGCCCTAATATTTTCTTGAAATTTTATACTATATGTCTAAATCTTATATAATTTAAATATTATAATCAATATAGCTAAATTTTAAAATAATTTTTTTTACATCAATTCTCTTTAAATTAATCTATTAATCATTATAATATACAT